ATATATGGCACACTATTCATATGATGTTAACTACTGCTCTACCTCCTCTGAAAATAGTGCTGGTAGTATGCTGATATTTTTAACTGGATTTCCTATGGAAACAACATGTATGTAGGCAATTTATATGTGTGTTAGAGGATGTTTTGTGTGTCCCAAGCCCCTCCATTTGCAAATAATCTGATTAATAATCCTTCTGTTTGAATTCTACTGGAGAGGGAAGGGGAAAAACTATTGTCAATTCTGGCTGACCTAAATTCGTCAACTAAATTTGACAGTGGTCTAGAGTACCAGCAAGTTTCATGGAAAAACAGACAAGACAAGATGATATCTAATTTGGAAATCCGGTGCTGATGTGCATATCGTATTAGTTGGCAAAGAATCCAGACAGGAGGAAGACTTTATAGATGTGTCATCTGTAAGAGAAGTTTGTTTGGTGCCTAAGAAGTTATGAGCTCCAGTCATTATAATTTCAAAGAAGTAAAAGAGTGCTGTTTGATCTTAGACCTGCTTTCAGGTAGCTCCAAGAATACAATGAATGGTTTTGGGGTACTTGAGATGGAGGGAAACACAAGAGAACAAGTGGATTTCTTCCACTGTAGAGCGTTTTTGGTTTAGAAGTTTTGCCCCTTCTGGCAAAACTTTGTGTAACAGTTTCACACTCGAGCTGAAATTGAACAATGTGTGACTGTCTTCTACCAAGTGTTTGGTAGAAGAATATTCCATATAGATCTACAAGTCCTTTTAGTAAACTAAGGAACTGACTTTAAAAGCTACTCTTAACAACTTCCACAAGGAGAAGTATGCTTGGACAAATCCCACCAGTTAAAGTGAATTTTGCAGTAAAGAAAATGGTTTTCATAGTTATATTAGAAGATACTGCTTTAATATAGTGGAAGACAAGGGCTACCAAGGAATTTAACCTGCCATTTCTTTTTAATGGAATACACTATAAATACTGTTTATAGAACCAGGAATTCCTGTCAACATCCTTACATGTTGTGCTGACAAACTACTATCAAGAGTACCGTTTTGTTTTGTAAACTTCCAGTTACTTAGGACAGATAAAATTAGTCTGATCATCTTATTTTGTCTGGTGCTGACTTAGTATCATTGGTATGAATTTAATATAAGATTCTGTGTACTTTTCTGAGAAGTCATCTGCCACATTCTGGGAGTTCTGTGTCTTCCCAGAGGAAGAGAACTGTTTAAGGATTGGAAAGTGAGCAAATAAACAGGTATCTGTAATGCACGGAAATATGAGAACCATTAATTCCAAAATTGTGTATTTCATCCCAATGCATTCACTTAAACAACAACAACAATAACAACAACAAAAAACCAAACTCCCCAAAAAATCCAGTTGTGTGTTTCAGACTCTCAGAGATGAAAAACCTGTACCATTAAAGTGTCATTTCATTTTGGTTTGGTTTGGTTTTGTACTCCTCATATTTAAAATTATAGATTATGCCTTATGAGAAGTTATCAATATGTTTGCTTTCAAGTGAGGTTTCTCTTTTTGAATGTACTAACTCACTGTAGAAGCCTGCCAGCAGCACACCCGGAGTTAAAAGCAGCACACCTGTGTTAAAAGTTAGGAAAACTATTTAAACTTTGACTATCAGCCTGGACAAGACAGCATGTGTAGTGAAAAGCTACATGGCTTTTATTTGGAATGTGATTCCTAAAGAAGCCTGTTTTATTAGTGCTTTTAACAAACGATTTATCTAAGAAAATTATCTAAATATGTTAAGAAATGCATTCTTCAAACAAATATTGTTTTCTTGATAATTGAAAGAACTGATTTTTGGCACGAGGCCTGTAGGAACCTAGGAATAGCATTTTTGGTTGGCTTTCACTGAAGTTGTTGGAAATTTTAAAGTTAACTTGAAATTGAGCTGAGAGGTCATTCAGGTATTAGTACCAGTACCTGTATCTGGGCCTAAGCAATTAAAGTTATGTAAAAACAGATAGTTACTTATAATCTGCCCAAATGAATGCCTTAAGCTGTTAGTAAAAGATTAATTTCAGCTATATAGAGAAAATGCAATTAAAAACTCAAAGTTGGGTAGGAAGCTTGCATTTGCTGTCAGCCATCTCAGTTCTCAAAACTCTGGCTGCGTGGTAGGCAGGGTGGTCCCGACATAGTGGGCTTTTGGATGATCAGAGAAATTAAAAAGGTATCCCTGTAGCTTTAGGGGAAAATGCATATGGCACTTTTCCTCGAGAATCATGGAAATTGCAGTTTGTGTTAGTTAAGAAGCATATGATTCAATGATTCCAGTGTGGGAAACTAAACTGTGAAACACAGGGTTGCTTTTTTTTTGTCTGAAGTCTACACTGAGTAGATGTGATTCTTTCAAGTCTGCATTTAGGACTAGGAGTTGTTCAGAGCACAGGGTTGGAACCAAAGGCTGTAAACTTGTGTCTCAGCAACTGAATATGTCATAAAAGCTTTTGCTGCACAGAAGAATCATGACCAAAGTGTTGACTCTTCAAAAATAGTCTCTAAATTTCTTCTCTGCTCAGGAAAGCAGCACCCCATCATGTCTAATGGTGACTTGGAAGAGAAGAAAAATGCAGTCACTGACATTCTCCCTTCCTTCTCCTTCTCCTTCTCCCAGCTCTGTATGCTGACCGCAACACCATATAGTCTGGGATATCCCTTGGATCATTTGGGATCAGCTGTTCTCTCCCAACTCCATGTGCACCCCCAGCCCACTGGCTGGTGGAATGTAGTGAAGAGCAGAAAAGGCCTTGACTCTGTGTAAGTGCTGCTCAGGAGCAGAAAACACCCCTGAATTATCAACACTGTTTTCAGCACAAATCCAAAACATAATGCCATACTAGCTTACTGTGATGAAAATTAACTCTATCCCAGCCAAAGCCAGCACACTACAGTATTTTTGAGATGAAATGTTTTCTTCCTCTACTTGTCCGTGCCCTGCATCTTACTTTACTGTGCGCCTGTCCTTTGTCAGATGGAGAGATTCAATGCTTTAGTTACTGTAGTTTCCTGCTATTGTAACAAGTAAGAAAATAGTTGTAGCTTAGCCTAGAAGTGGGTCCAAGACTGTAGCTCGTGACCTGTCTTTGAACTGTTAAACCTCAGCTCTTGCTCTGCACATTGTAAAGCATAAGAGAAAGCACCATGTACCATTTCAGTCGATTTAGAGCAGGGAGAAAATACATAATACTTGTTTTGCAAAAGTTGTTAGCATGGTACAGGAGATGGTTGTTACAGCAAAGATTTTAAAAGATGTTAACATAACCACAGTTGTTAGAGCTGTGCATTCTGTTTCTCAAAAGGTTAGGAATCAAAATAATTCTATCCTAGATGTCTCTAGGAAATGACATGGCACATACAGGGAAAATTTACCTTCTTTAGGATGTATGAGTTTTTGTACTTGGTAGTTACTGAACTTGGCCTCTCATTGGCAGTACTTTCACATGAAAGAAGTGTTCTTAAATAATTTGTCTGTCTGTTCTGGGAAAAAATCAGGCTTTTCTTCCATGTCTGGCACAAGTGCTTTCTTCAGCTAACTTATGGAAAGTAAGTTAGCTGTTGCATTCATGTTTGCATCCCATGTTGCATTTATATTTGGCTTTTCTGACTATGTGTGAGGATATTTTAGAAAGTTTGGGGTATAGTAGAACATCATATTATATCAATAGTCTTGGAGGATATGTGGAGAACATGTGGAGGGTATGTGGTTGGGGTGATTTGGTATTTTTACTCAGGGATCAGTTGATTAAACAGTCTTCTATTAGTGATTGAAATGACATTTCTTTTCCTACAAAAGCTGTTTTAACCAGTTCTTGACACCTGTGTTCAGATGTTGATAGAGTTACAAGCATGGATTAGTATTAATATTAAATGTGTGTATATGGGTAAGCTAAATAAACTACACAAAATTTTAAAAGCTATCAAAACTGAGTTGTTGCCTTTAAGTTGTAGTTCAATGTGTAGTATACTGCTAATGCACATCCAAATAAAGGAATTATTGATTAAGACACATTACTTGCATGAAGGCTACAATGAAGAATGCAGTTACCTACAGTAGGAAAATACCAGTATGTAATGCTAGAAGAGGGATTTTTTTCTGAGGAGGCATTGTTTTCTTCTCAGAAAATCCAGGATTCTATTTGTTGTCCCCTTTTTTTTTTGGCTCAGGTGCTTCTCTGAAGAGAAGGAAAATACTGACTCTGAAGCCTTTTTAAAAGATTTCTTACTGGTGTTAAGTATACTCTTCAGATTACTGACAACTAAATTAAGTAAATGATGTCTGAGAATACTTTTTTAAAATCAATTTTTAGTTACGTACAAGATGCTATTGTACTGATTAAAGACAAATGAGATTTTTTTTCTTCTTCTGTATTTGAAGAATAGCTTTACTGATGTGACTTAAAATGAATATGGGATGAGCGGCAGGGTTGATTCCAAAGAGGTATCAAGTAGCATCTGATACATAATATTTTCTCATATGTTTAGTCAAACCATTTAAACGATTAAATAGATCACCTCAACAAGACTACTCACAGAAATCATGCTGATAGTACCTACTATGATGGAAAACTTCCAAAATTACTTTGTTTGTTGTCTACAACTATACAGTGTGCAGTCCTCCAAATCATCATTGCTATTGCTTATAAGTGATTGGAGATTATAAGGTTATAAAAGTGCATGTAATTACACAACACTCCAGAGCATGTATGTCTACTGCTCTTCATAAATTTTTTATTGTAGAGTTGCTTGTGCCACGGTAAGGAAATATCTGGGGCAAATGGAAATTAGACTGCACTGATTTCCTCCTGTTTAATACTGCTAGTTTTTAAGTATATTAAATGACCTGTTAGTAATCAAATTATTTGACATGATTCTTGAAAAGCCACATTTGCAGATGAATTCTTGCTTGGGCCAAAGAACTGTAGAAAAATGAAATCTAAAGCTATTCTGTGAGGTGTAAATTTGGCATAGCGATGACAGAATTTTCTTTTAATAGGTTCTGGAAAACATCAGCATCACCAATGAATGGCTTGATCTTCGCTCTCAGCTCCAGATGACTTGTATTGTTGTTCATAAGGGTAAGTATAATTCCACTGTGAAAGTGTTGGTAAAATCTAGAATGATTTTAAAGCATGTCATCGTAGCTTTTTTTTTATTTACTTCAGCAGACACATTCAGAATGTCTGACCATTATCTGTAACTTAGTGGTTTATTCTTGATCCAGCATTGCTTTACAGCTGTGATAAGATGCAATGTAAAATATCTTCTTGCTACTCTGAGGAGGTGCAGCATGTCAATGCAGCCAAAGGCCTTGGACCTCTGAGACATACCACTGAATATCTGGTTCACAAGCTTCATAATTTTGCCCATCATTGGACCTTTCAGGAACATCTCATGCAGTATGCAGAGGAGCAAGATTGCACTGCAGACTTGCATACTGGTGTGGGGAAAAGAAACAGAGAGTTGTGTAGAATCGGTCATGTGCTGGCACATTCCTGGCACAGCACCATCCTTTTAGTCTGCTTGAAAAATATTTCTAGGAATATCCTAGATATGTCACTGATCTTGGTGACTTGCTGTCCTCTGAGAAGTTTGAATTTAGCAAAAAATGGATAATAAATTGTCTGATTTTTCTGAACACTTACTTTTCTAAAGCAAATACCTTCTTTATAACTTAAGCTTCTGTTATTAGATGTTGTCTGTTACTGAAAATGGAGATGTCACTGCTGGAAAACCAAATGAAGAGAAAACATATAAAAAGGTAAATAAAACTTACAACAAGCTTTTTTTGTATGTTTTTCCCTTCATGTTGCTAATTCAGATCTGCTGTAAGTGAAATATATTTCAGAACTAAGTAAAAACAAGAACAAATAACACATGTTCCATGGATTTTTTTTAAGTAATTCATTCATTCTGTGAAATCTATCGTATTTCTGCCCACTGCAGAACTGACTATTTAAAGCATGTTCAGTACGGCTTTAAAGTATACACTCTTGCTAGATTGATAGAAATTCTTTGCTCTTAGCAACAGATATACCTCTGGGCATAAATACTGTTTTGAGAAATTTAGTACAGCAAGTTTGCAAATGCTTTGAATGGTTATACAACGTGTCTGGACTATAAACCTTATCACCTCTTCAGTGCTTTGTCAAACAGACCACTATTTGTTTGCGATGTGTTTAAAAAAAATGAAATGTTGTTTAAGAGAGGACTTATTTAGTGTAGGAGCATGCATCAATAGTAGCAGAACAGATCCATTTAGATATTGTAACAGTAGCTGATACTGATTTGGGATTTGTTTTTCTGACACTGATTGTCTTGACCAGCATTATTTCGGTCCACCTAGCAATATTGGTAACTAAGAGGAGCTATAAATGCATCTTTTCCTATATATATACATAGTTACATAACCAAGTTGTTAGCTGCCAAATTCGAATTTTTTCTTGGCAGATCACCTATGACTGTTTTTTTTCTTAATTTCTGTTATCTAGCACAGAGATTCAAATACTTGTACAGTACGTATAATGTTAAGAGTTTTTCATTTCTGGGTGTCACTTACAGCACTGTTGGTGAAGTCCAGGAGATTACTAAGCTGCTATTTCTTTTCCCACCCCTTTTGCTGGCAGTTACAGTTTCAGTATCTGGGTGTCTTTAACATTCCAGATAATTTTCTCAGAAATAAAAGGAAATAATGTTTGAGAAAATTGGTTTTTTCCCCCCTTTTTAGGTACAGGTTATATTCAATCTCCCAACTTATGACTTTAAAATATTAAACTCTAAATTTTTCTTGACACTTTCTATGAGAAAGGAAGAAAAATTCAGTGCCTGAGATGAACACTTCCACAGTTTTATTTTGCTAGACTAGACTAGTAGGTAGCCATATGTAGTTTCCATTCCCCCCAGTCATCCTACATACTCTTCTCTGTTCCTTTTTGACTATAAATTCACAAAATTGCAGAGAAAGTCATGTAAAGGCTTCTCACCATGGCACAAATTATTCTGTGTATTTACTGGAAATACCTCTCTGACAAAACATAGGATTCACAGCCACATTGAAAGGTCACGGCGACTATCATCTCCAAGTTCTGTCCTCTCCCCTGAACCACCAGTTGTCTGTGTCTTATGTCAGTTTATTTCCTTTTCATATAATTACACCCTCAGTTGTTCTGTGTTCAAGCTCCTGTGTTGCATATGCCCCATAATTAAGTATTATCACCAAATATTATCATCATACTCCTCCTTTTTGTGATAATGTTAGTAAAAAATTAGCAAGTGTTGACCCCACAATTTATCTATGCAGGGCTAACATGTCTTTGCCTGATGTCTCACTTTTAACAATATCTCTCTTCTCTTAAGCCAAATTCCTTACAAACCTTGCACTTTCTGTTAGACCTTGAAGACTCTGCTTGAGCAGGGAGATTGGACCAAATGACCCCACCAGTGGTGTCTTCCAACCTGAACCATTCTGTGACTCTTTGATCTTCTTCAGATATTCCATATAACATTTCCTATTTCTTATGTTCAGAGGAATGAACAGTAGATGTCAGGTTAAGCCTGGTATGACCTATGTTTATCAGAGGCATTTCATGTCATTTCCCAGTTAGTTCCATATTTTTAGGTAACTTACACAAAGAGATTTTGCTTGGTTAAATGCTAGTTTACAGTTAACACCTGCCTGTCTTTTATTGCCCACATAGCTTTTCTTTGCTCTTTTATACAGGTTCGCATTTACAGTTCTCTGGTTATGTGTTGTTATACTTGTTTGGTTTGGCTGAGAAATACTTGCAGTTCTGTCCTGTGACTTCCAGTGCCACTTCCTCCAGAAATCTGGGCGGGGGGAGAGGTTGTTCCCTCAGCTGGTGCTTTTTCAGCTACTTGGGCAGTTTCTGTTCCAATTTACCACTGCCCTTAATTGCAAGGGCACTTAGTCAAGATACTCATTGAGTTTTGAAGTCAGATAATGCTTGCTAATCTATTCACCTTGCTCAGAAACTTCACTTGCACATTTTTTTTACATAATAAATTATTATTACATAATAATAAAGTATTTAAATATTTCTATTTAAATACAAATATTATGTAAAAATTACATAATAAATGGGATGGTGAGGGAGATAAGAGTAGGCTTCTCCACATACAGTAGGAGAGAAAAATGAACTAATGGCAACTACTTTGTGGGAAGCATGGTTGCAAAGCAGTGTTTATTAGTGGTAGCTTCTGTTCATGTTTGTTTCTCCCCTTCTCTCATACTGATCTATGGTAGCTAGGTGTTTCTGCCATTTCATTAGCCAGATTTTAAAACCTGTTTGAATGACAGTAGTAAAGAGGGTGAAAGAAAGGAATCATCATCTTGCCTTCTGCAGTGATAGTGAGGTAGAGTTGCTGAGGGAGCATTAATTTCTTGTTTTTGCTTTATAGCACTTGCATTAAACTAGATGTCTTATGGAAAAATCTTTACCCCAGAAAGTTCACAGGTTTAGCTGCAATAAAATGAATTATGAAAAGGGAAAACACATAAACAAGGACCAAGTTTACATTCACGCAGTCCTAAAGGGAATCCCTAGGATGTCTGCTTTTGAAGAAGCCAAGAATGTGAGTTACATTTCATGAGTATGTTGTGGGAAATACATAAAGACTTAGCAAAGAACAATTGAGAGCTGAAAGAAGAATGGAAAAATAATTTTGTGAACAAGAGTAGAGGGGAACTTCTATTAAATTAAATGAAACCTTAGTCCTGCTCAGCTCCTCTCTGCTCATGGTTTGTTAAATGATTTGTTTTATGTCATTAATAGTCCCATACAAATACGAAGAAAGTGTAAGGAAACCTGTTTAAAAGAATAAATGTGTTTATCATATCTGAAGTCTTTGTATACTATGTACTTGGTGATTGTATTGACACATTATTGGTTAGTTAGGTTTGCCAGCCATTTATAACTTTCACACTCCAATGGAAATAATTATTGAGCAATGTATCATATACTTTCTGAAACTATAGTATCTATATTTTTGCCATCCCTGGATTTTTTTTCATTTACTTTAAGAGACAGACTTTTTCAATCCTTTCAGTAGCCTTGTCCCTAACTGGCACAGTTGTTAAATAGCTTCAGATAGTGGATTTTTTTTTGTTAGCAGAATGTAAACTGCCTTTACATGCAGTATATGTGTCTGATTAACACATTTCTTTTATGAAAATAAAAAAATTAAGTTTCACAGGACTACGCTGAAAGCAATTATTTGTAGGAAAAGCAGTGTTGAAATCCTACTTAGTGCATTTGTGGGATCATGTGCAAAGTTAATACATGATTTGAAAGGATTTATGTTCTCATTTATTTTCCTATTCCAAAAAAGGATTTCAGCTTAGAGTGATGTAGAGCAAGATGGAAGATCCATCTGTGGATAACAGTAATTCAAGAGAACAGTGCATCTAGTGCTAGAATATATGTCAGTGATGCAAATATTCCATATACCTGTCTGTGTTCTATATTATATTCTATATAGTATTATACTATATATATTCTATATTATATACTGTTTCATCCTGTAACCTGTTGTTATGCTTTATGTGTCTGCATATAATGTTTCATTCCTATAAGCTTTTTTAGCAAAGCTGTATGACAAATATAGAGAAAATATATAGTTACTTTTGACAAAAATAGACAAAGGTGTGTTTCATCGTAAAGAGGACAGTTTAAGGTTTTTTATGCAAGGATAAAACTGTGCAGAGGCTTTTTTGTTTCAATCCTCCATAAACTGCGGGACTTCTGGAGCACTTTGTCCCCAGTACATCTCCTCCTGAAATGCAGCTCTTTTACCTTTGCTGATCTGTTCCCATTTAAGATGTAAGAGAAATGTCCTTACCTACTTTGAAATATTGGCATTCTGGGACAGTAGTACAGGAAATGGGCAATTTCTCAGTTTGTATGGCTGCAAGAATTGCAGTTTACAGTATATTTAATTATACAACAGTGATTGACAAACAATTGACTTCTGGCTAGCAATTGGCTTCAGCATGCTGTAACTGCCATCACTTTGTTTTAAAGCAGTTGGTAAAGTATCCTGAATGATTTCATAACATTGCTTTTCTGTTAAACCAACTGCTGTAATTGCTGTAGAAATGATGGGTGATTACTAATGGCATTCTTGAATAGGAGTGGAAATTAATAAGACAGTAACCTTGGAGGTGGAGTCTGTGTCATAATAGTAGAAGGCCTTACATTCTGCCTTCCAGAGACTGTAGGTCTGTGGGTTTTCTTTTAAACTTGAAAAAAAAATCCTACAGATATTTTTTATGAGCTTGAAAGGTGGTCTAGAGTTTTCCTTTTGAAATCACATTGCCAGCTTACCTGTCTTGGGTTTTTTTTTGAAGTTCAGTGGGTTTTGTTAGGGTTTATTTGGAATGGCATGTCCTCTGTTGTACTTTACTATGTGCTGTTCTTTCAGACATAGTTGCTTGCTATGTCAGTGAACAAGATGGGCATCCAGCTATAAAGCAGAAACTATTTGTATGTGTATTGGTTTGATCAAAGTTACATAATTATGGCTTTTGTTGTGCATTAATAATTCATGAATAGAAGCCTTTCAAGGAAAGAAAAATGTGACTCCTCTTATGACACAAAGCCAAATGATTTTAGTAGTCAAAGTAACACTTTCAGAATGGGCTGTTATTTGTTCCCACCAAGTTGCCTGTTCTAAGCTGTTATGCAAGTATAAGTTCTGCTTGGTGTGCAGTCTTAATTATTTAGGATATACACATCTCTGTCTTTTCTAAAAATAAGCAGTCACTCTAAGTTGTTGCTGTTCCAAAAACTGTAACAAGACTAGCTTTGTGTACTTGAACCATTTCTTATGTAATTCCGATTCCTGAAATGTTTTTGTTCAAGTGCTGAAGTGGTTCTGATCATGAAACTTCTAGTGTTCTTTGCCTCCACTGTTAATGTCTTGCTTGTTTGGTGAGTGGGGGCTAAAATCTAAAAACAGGCACCAAATATGTTGTCTTCAGACTGGTGAAAATACATCATGTAAGCAAAGATACTCGCTTCCTGATAGCCTTCTTTCCCTTCCCAATGATTTTCTTTATTCACTCCTTCGGTCTTTTCTTAATAATTCCTTTCTTGACCAGTTTCTGATTTTGACTCAGTTCTGCCATTTTTTTTAATTTGTCCATCAGGGTTGTCTATTCAGCATGAGAAAGTTTCAGAGATGGTCTCAGTTTACACATATATAGTATCACAATTTGGTGCTGACCTTTTGAACCTTTCTGTCCTGCAAACCCTGGCTGTTGAATTTAGTCATTCCACTTTATGCAGGTAGATTTTTATTGAGGGATTTCTCTTTCCTCATCACTTTCATTTTTCTCTGCATTCCACCCAGTCGATGCAGGATGTAATAAATACATTTGTATCTAGAATCAGCGTTTAAGCCATAAGCTTGCTTTGTAGTGCCTTGGCATGCATGTACAATCACCTGGAATTTGTGACTTTTTTTTTCCAGGACATAATGCATGCTACTTCTAACTCCTGAAGCAATTTGAATGTTCAGTTAGATTGAAAATGTCTTAAGAGGATCACGAAGGATGGCTATATGCTGTTTTGTAAAGACAGGGAGGAAAGTAGAGGAGGAGGAGTTGCGCTCTGTGTTAAAGAGAACCTTGAACATATAAAAGTTAAATGCAGTGACTATGGAAGCCCTATCAAATGCCTCTGGGTCAAGATCAGAAGGTACATCTCCAATGGGTATCTTAGATTAGGCATCTGCTAGTGACCTCCAACCCAAGATGGTAAGGGCAAAGAAGCACCTAAAGAGGGTCAAGCAAGTTTTAGATTATAGATCGTGGGTCTTACGGGTGATTTCAACTACCCAGACATTTGTTGGTGGAACAATACAGCAGGTTACATCAGCCATCAAGTTCCTGGGGTGCACAGAGGACTGATTCCTCACACAAACAGTAGATGTGCCAACCAGGAATGAGGGGCTGTTGAACTTGCTACTCACAAAACAAAGAAACCTGCCTTGTAGTATCTCAGTTAGTGATGTCTTTGGCTGCAGTGATCCCTATATTGTGAAGTTTGGGGTCTGGCTGTGCACACTGAAGGTTAGTACAAGGCAAAGTTTTTAGATTTTGGAAGAGCAGACTTCAGCTTGCTCAGAGCTCAACTGGGAGGTAAGCTTCCATTGAGCTAGAGAGTGCTGGAAGTTTTTCAAGACTGCTCATAAAACCCGCTCATTCTTTATAAAGGGAAGGGAAGTAGGTGGAGAAAGAGACCCTCCTTGGCTTAACTGTAACCTTCTGAGTCTGCTCAAAACCAAAAGAGAAGCATACCAGAGATGGAAAAGGGGACAAATACTTGTTGAGAACAAGGGAGTTGCCAGGGAATGCAGAGATGCAGTTAGAAAAGCAAAGACAGCTCAAATTGAAATTGGCAAGAGATATCAGGAACCACAAGAAAGGGTTGTTTGGATACATAAACAACAAACAACATAAACAACAATAAAAAACAGAAGGAAAATATTGGCCTGCTGTTAAATAGGAGAGTTGAATTAGTCACCAACAATGCTGAAAAGGCAGAGGTTCTCAACACTTCCTTCGTCTCTGTTATCACCAGCGCTTTTGGGCCTGGGAACAAAAATCCAGGTTGATGTAAACTCAGACCCAGTGTCAATGAGGGAAAAGTTGGCGTGTGAGCTATTACAGAGCTGGGTTTGTTCAGCCTCGAGAAAAGAAGGCTGAGGGGAATACTTCCCACCATGTTCCAGTATTTACAGGGTGGCTACAAAGAAGATGGAGACTATTCTTACAAGGAGTCACATAGAAAATATGAGAAAATAATGGGTTAAAGTTATTCCTGAGGACATTCCAGTTGAACACAAGTGGAAATATTTCACAGTGAGAACAGTCAGCCAATAGAATTATCTCCCCAGAAGTGATGAATTCCCCAACGTGAGCATTTTTGAGATTTGGCTTGACAGGGTGCTGGGCCATCTTGTCTAGACTGCTTTTGCCAAGAAAGGTTGAACCAGATGATTCTTGAGGTCCCTTCCAACCTGGTATTCCATGATTCCATGCTGAGTTAGAACCCAACGTGGAAAGTAATGAGGCAATTTGAAAAATTTCAGTTTGTACAACCAGAAAATTGATTTTTGTAGATTTTACTACAGTATAGTGATTCTTTTAAGTCTTTTAATTGAAAATCAATCATCTCACTGAGCTCTAGGAGGTAAAGATAACATGATGTTGTTATTATGAAAATGATTAAAGAGTTTAACATATAATATTACTGATAAAGAACAGAAATCTGGTTTTAGCAAACTCATGCTTGAATTCTTGTTCTCTGCACAGACTGCATCCTCAGCTATTAAAGGTGCTATCCAGCTGGGAATAGGATACACAGTAGGAAACCTTACATCAAAACCAGACAGAGATGTTCTTATGCAAGACTTCTATGTAGTGGAAAGTGTCTTCCTACCAAGGTAAGAACAAGCCTTTTCAATTTATCTTCAATAGAATTTCATAATTAAATTCTTAACTGGATATTTGAATGAGGATTGTTTTCTAGTTCTAACAAAATGATGTTAGAGAAAGTTTAATGTATAGAACTTCTGTTTTTCATGTTGTCATTAAAAATGAAGGTAGGAAGAAAATTGAAAAGATCACACTTCAACTGAAGGTTTGAGACTTATCACTTATGGAGAGGGAGAGTAATTGTGACATTTTCAATTTAAGGAGCTGTTAATTACAATATGAAGTGATATGTGGATCCAACATTCACGTTTGTCTAGTTTCAGTTTAGTTTCTAAAAACTGAGAGTAGTACTTGACATTTTCTTGAGGGGGTTTCAAAATTTATGAAAATTCAAGTCCTTTAAGTATAATATAATAGTTTATACTACACTATAAAATTCTATTCAGGACTTTAGTCTGTGACAACGCTTAGCTCTTACAAGCTGATTACAGGTTGTGCACCTTTACTGCTTTGCCATCTCAGCTTGTTTCATTGTCAAGGTGATGGTATGGAAATTGTAGCAATAGAATCACGCCAATGAGAGAAATCAAAGTCATACTGAGTTTTGGAGTTCAGAAGCTGAAGTACAGTGCCATGTAACTTTGCAAATTACATATGGTAGGAAAGGACAAAGAAGATTTAGGAAAAATGTATTTAATGTATTTCAAAACCAAGATGACTTGCTCTGTTCAGTGTGGTCTGGGTTCTTAGAAGTGCTGAGTACCTTCCTTTCAGTAAGGACATGCTACGTATGCAATCTTCCCTGAAAGTGGCAAAAACTTCTATGAGTTTTTAAAGTCTTGTTCATGCGCAGTTTGAATGCTACTTCATAAGCTGTTTCTAATAATTTATGATCCTTAATAATTATTGGTGTCACTAAAAAAGTTAAATTAACAACATACAAAATAATTGCAGGTGCTTTAAATTTTGATCTTTCCCCAAATTTGATTTGATTTGACTCCTATTTTTCTTCGAACTGAGATATCCTTAAAGAAAACAAAATTTATTTTTTTATGTGAAATGAAGCTTTTATGTTACATACTTTAGTTCCTAGTAGTTGAGTAGTTGTTAACACCTTGTTCTGGTGTTAACAATAAAGTTTGTGCACGGTTTTGTAGCCTTTCTCTTGTAGATTAGGTAAATATAGAGAAGTTAACCATATGCATGTATTTTCATACACTGTAAGCACAAGATTTTGTTTAAAATAATCCAAATTACCAGTGAGAAATTTACATATCATGTAACAAGGTTTTTATTGGTGAGAAAAATGTCTGCCTGTGACACTGATGGAGGCTTCTGTAGTTTGTTTGCTGTGATTATCACCTTTGTTCATGGAAATTAAATGAAACCTACATACAAAAACTGTTTTATTACATAGCACAGTTTGAGAAAAAAGTCTATTCTCTTTTTAAACATAGTTATAAAGGAACAAGTAAAATAAAATGGTTCGTATGCCATAGCATTGCATATGTCTTCTTTCTTGTGAGACTCACATGCATGTACATACAGAAATGAGATTTCCCTGTTTTGTGTTGGTTTTAAGGAAGAGCTGGGAGACATACCTTCTGGCTTAAAATGAAAACAATGACAGAGGGAGTAAGATGATTGCACTAATGTAAAATAGATTAGAAAAGCTTCAGGAATATCTTTCTGGAGAGTTTCCTATAAATAAATAAATCATATGAGGAAAATTAGACAAATGAAAGTAATGGTGAGAGCAGCATAGTTTTGGCTTTTTAGTTTGAGTTGTTTTTTTTTTTTGCATAGCTATGTGCTAAGCAGTAGCATATAACATAGTGAGTCATCTTGACTGTGACAAAGAATCTCTCTATAAAGAGCACTTGTTGACAACATTCTCTGTGAAATATATGACTATCCATAGCAGTCTCTTAAAACCATGACATTTGATTTCTTGTGCTGATGCACAGAAATGTCAAATTTCAAATCCTTGTTATGTCTTATTGTAACATGCACTTTTATTTATCTAAAATACTTTCAACCAAAAGTAGTATTACTGTGCATAAATTGTAATAATTTAGGATTGCACATAATAATACAGGATTCTTTCTTGCTGGTTAAGAGTATTGGGATGTTGAGTGTTTCATAATGGCATTACATGGTTTCGTCATGAGTCATATCCATACCTTGCTTCATTAGCCCAGGTAAAAAGCTAAGGTTGCATGTTCTTTACAATTAGGGTTGCACTCCCAAAGTGTATCTCAGGTGCTCTTTATTTTTTCCTAGCACAGGACCTACATGTGATGGCCATATTTTTAAAAGCCATTACTTTAATGACTTTTGGTTTTGTCCCCTTTGGATTGGTATGGGTTGAAAGTAATTAGTTGAAATTAGTTACACCAGCACGCCAAGGGGGTTGACCTTTACCTGGAAGCATGCCGGAGCAAGCTGAGGTTGGGTAAACTTTTTACAGGTTTGTAGCTTAAGGAGAACCTAAGGGTTCAGCATGTGTGGTGCTGAAAACAGGTGATTACCAAGCAAGGAACAATGTTTCCACTTGTTTTGGGTACAAATAATTCATTTGCAACTCCAAGAGGGCTATTAGCTGAACTTCCCCTTGATTGTGGCAAATTCACAATAACTCCTCCTCCATCTTCCTCCCATATTTTCCCTGCCTCTTTCGTGTCTGGCACTGAGGTGAGAAGACAGGTGTTTTGCAGAGGCGTAGGTACACCTGCTTCTTTGACAGCAACAGGAGCACTGTTATGGTGGCAGTGATAAAATAGACCTAAGCTAGTAGAAATGCAATGAAACAGCAGCCTGTGCACCAGCAAGCAAAATGGTGTTATCTCTACCCTTTTACTGTTAGGGGAAAATAGTCAGCAATGTTTATGAATTTTATCAGTTGCAGAGGATAGTGTCTGCATACCTCTTATACCCCAAAATTACCCTCGGCACCACCCATACCTCTGCTTCGGTAGCCAGAGCAAAACACTTCCACTGGTGATCAGAATTCATGAAGGAGGGAGAAAAATGTGAGGGGAAAAAAGTAGTTGGGTCAGATCTGAATGTAACTGTTCTGCATATTGTGGGAGGTTCTGATGTAAAACAGGAGTAACTCCATGGATTGCAAGTTGTTCCTGGTCCAGAGTTACTGTGTAACTGTGCTAAATTGGTCAGAGTTTAGCACAGATTCATTAAGATGTTTATTTCTGGAAGTGACTTTGAGTGAAGTAGAGATGTCTCTGTACAGTGGATGGGTTTGAATTGCAAAGGTGCTTGCTTGCATTTGCATACTGTAGTGGTGCATAGGGTGGAAAAGTGCCCTTGCCGCTTTGTGTTTCACATTGTGGCATTCCTTTCACCCCTTTCTCTTTGAGCTCCCAGGAGTTTATATAACATATTGCTTTTGCAAACTGAGGTGTTACTGGTATTACTGCTATAATGGAGTTCATTGAGAGCCACTGTCCAGATAGAATTTAAATGGTACTATGCAAATGTGCTCCTAGGGCTGAGAGACAAAACCCTGCACTGACCTTGTTGATTCTGAAGATAGCATCTGAAGTCTCTGCCCTGCTCCCTGAATAAGGCAAAACCATAGGGGAAACCACTCCAAGTAACCTGTTTTCTGGCTTTTCAACTCTGCTTTGGAAATCCAGCAATGGAGGTGCTTACCTGGTATTGGGACTGCTGCAGCAGTGACTGGAGTGTTCAGTGGGAAGGTTGTGCATTCTCCACATGCTGTCTATGCTCTGTCCTGTGACTCAGCTGTGTGGAACACATTTGTGCCTCTGGCTTCTTGGCTGGAGCCTGTTCCTGGTGACACATTTTGCCTCCAACTCAGTTATTTCTGCAATGTGGATTCAGTAATATATTTCAGCTGTTTGACTCAGCTGTGGCACTGGCTCCTGATAACATGGCCATGGTTAGAAAGGCCCATTGTTCATCTAAAAGCCTAGCTCGGGCCATGGGACTGTGCAGCTGCCTGTAAGGTGGCAGTGTAGACAGCTTGTTAAGCTCTTCCAGCAGAATCAGAGAATATGCTGAATTGGAAGGGACCCACAAGGATCATCGGGTCCAACTTCTGGCCCTGCACAGGACCACTCCTAAGAGTCACACCACGTGCCTGAGAGTATCATCCAAACACTTCTTGAACTCTGGCAGGCTTGGTGCTGTGACCACTTTCCTAGGGAACCTGTTCCAGTGCCCAACCACCCTCTCACTGAAGAACCTTTTTGTAATGTCCAATGTAAACCTCTCCTGACACAACTGCAGGCCATTATCTCAGGTCCTGTCACTGGTCACCAGAGAGAAGAGATCAGAGGCCACCCCAGTGCAGAGCAGAGCAGAACAATCCCCTCCCTTGACCGGCTGGTGATGCTTTGCCTGATGCCCCCCAGGACACGGTGGGCCCTCCTGGCTGCCAGGGCACTGCTGACTCATATTCAACTTGCCATTGACCAGGACCTCCAGGTTCCCTTCTGTGGCATTGCTTTCCAGCATCTCATTCCCCAGTCTGTATGAGCATCCAGGGTTGCCCCATCCAAGGCGCAGAATTCAGCACTTTCCCTTGTTGAACTTCATCTGGTTGGTGATTGCCCACTCCTCTAATTTGTCAAGGTCTCTCTTCAGGGCCTTTCTGCCTTCGAGGGAGTCAACAGCTCCTTCTAGTTTTCTTTCATCTGCAAACTTGCTTAGTCAGTCCTGCGTCCAAGTATTTATGAAGATTGTTGAAGAGCACAAGGCCTAAGATGGAGCCCTGTGGAACCCCACTAGTGACAGGTCACCAGTCTGATGTCACTCCGTTCACCATTACCCTCTGTGCTCGACCCATGAGCCAACTGCTCACCCACTGCATGATGTGTTTATCCAGCTGTGTGCTGGACAATTTGTCCAGCAGGATCCTGTCAGAGGCAGTATTGAAAGCTTAACTGAAATCCAAAAAGATTACATCAACCGGCTTCCCTTGGTCGGCTAGGTGGGTTACCTTGTCATAAAAGGAAATCAGGTT